AGCAAGAATACTAGAGTGAGTTGCCATGCCCTCCTCCAGGGGATCTTCCCAACCCAGGGATCGGACCCAGGTCTCCTGCATTGCAGGCAGATTCTTTACCATCTGAGCTACAGGGAAGTCCTGGCGTTGGCCTGCTGGTCCTCAAATACCTGGGTCTGGAGGTGACAGGTATGTTTCCACTCATATTTCAGTGTCAAGGATAGTCACATGACCGTTCTTAACTATAAGTGGTTGAGCATGTAGTCTTCATATGAACCAAGGATGGAGAGCAGGACACAAAGTGAAAGAGCACTTGCAGATGTTCCCATTAACTGTTATACAGTAGCTGCTTAAAAAAGAGCCACTATTAAAATTTGTTATGACCGTAGCCCTCGTCATTCCTGGAGGATTTTCTGAGATCAAATTCCCTTGCAATTCAATAACTTTTTCTAGTGCCAGTATGTGACTGATGTTCTCAAATATAGGTTCACAGCCACTTTCAAAAGGATCTTGTAAATCTCAGCAGGGAGGTGCACCCTTCTTCATTCTTAGCACCTTTCTGCACTGACCTTTTCAGTAATCTCTAAAATCTCAATACACTATTTTCCTTCTTCCTTCTGCTGCATGAAAAAAATAATACTTGAGTCCATGCTATTCACCACCTGTTGGACATGCCTGAATACTTGGACAGGTGTCTTTGACACACTGGAAAATCAGAGTCCCTCTAGGGCAGATACAGACAAGAGGCCGAAGAATGATGGTCATTTTTTAATTTTTATTAAAGCTGGCATCTCCACCAAGAAGACAGTTTCTACCTCTGTATTAGACTCAATAGTTGTTCCACATAATGCCCATAACCTTACCCTGAAATTTGTGTTACATAGCCAAAGGTAGCTAGCGTGTGTAATAAAACTTATGGAATGAATCTTAAAAATGGGAGGTTACACTGAATTATCTGGGTGGGCCCAATTCAACTACATGAGCCACATTACAGATTCGATGTGCTGTTTCAGAAGCAGGGGCCCATTTGCAAGGACTGAAGAAAGGCCTAGAGGAACTATGGCATCTCCAACTGATAGTCTGCAAGGAGACAGCCTCATTCTTATAACTACAAATAAGTGAATTCTTGTTAGAACCGGAATCTGAGAGCAACCTGAGCCAGTGTGGAATGCGATTCTTCTCAGCACCTCCCAATGAGAACCCAGACTCTGACAGCTTGATTTGGGTTTGCATAACCCTGAACAATGACAACAGCACAGCCAACCCCTATTTCTCATCTACAGAAATGTGAAATAAATGTGTGTTGTTGCAAGTTCCTTAATTTATGGCAATTTGTTTGTCGGCAATAGAAACATACTAAATGTTCCTAGAAATCTGAGTTTTGGGTAATGCAGTTCCTACAGATGGTTGCTCCACAGTGATTTCCTTGATCCTTCCTCATCCTGCCACTTAGGAAAGAAGCTTTGGTTCTTGGCCACTTAGTTAAGCTCACTCTTCAGTGTAAGGATTCAGTGGTCAGTCTCAAATAAATCCAAGGTTAAATTCTCCTTTCTTACTAACATCATCCACTCTCTAAAATCTCTTCCCTAACTTTAGGGTTATCTTTCAGTAACCTGTAGATCCTGTGTCAAACCAGACTCTACTCACAAGTCAATCTGGAAAAAAAAAATCTTTTAGTGGAAGTGCCTAAATCAGATGGGTGGGTGTGTATGTCAGTCACTCAGTCGTGTCCAACTCTTTGTGACTCCATGGATTCTAGCCCACTGGGCTCTTCTGTCCATGTGATTCTCTAGGCAAGAATACTGGAGTGGGTAGCCAGTTCCTTCTCCAGGCGATCTTCCTGACCCAGGGATTGAACCTGGGTCTCACACGTTGTAGGCAGATTCTTTACCGTCTGAGTCACCAGGGAAACCCATGTCTAAACCTCACTGCCGAAGTAGTCACATGAACGGGGCTATTGTTATCAGAGAGGTTCATAGTCAGGGATGGGACAGACAGGGGACATCTGGAGGGGGTTGGGAGGCCCTAAATCAGGAGGCAAGTAATTCTGGGCTTTTTGTTCCACTGGGAGCAGAGAGCAGCCTTATGAAAGGATATTAGACAGCAGGTCAGGACCCAGACTGTGACAGGAGAAAGTCGCAATGCAAGAGTGATGTTATTTCTGAAAGTGCTTGATTATGGCAGAGTCAGCTCCCAAGGAATTCTGAGGGGATGGGCAGGAGGAGCCTAGGTGAGTTAAGTTCACAGCCTAGACTGTATTTTTTTTTGACTGTATTGTTTTTAATTCTCATTTTCATTTATTATACGTGGGGGTAGTACATTGGCAACAGGGTCCTTCATTTCATCTCCGGAGAGACACTGTGGAGTGTTGAGACTAGAACCGAACTAAGAGACAGAACAACTGCTTCATTCAAGGGGTGGAACAGTGAGGGCCCTAAATGAATTCAGACCAGAGGTCTAGTTCCAGTTCTGACATTCATGAGCCATGTGAAGTCAGGAAAATTGCAAAGTTCTGTGAGGCTTTTCTATGAAGTGAGTTTGATAGGCCTTGCTGTGTAGGATTCCTGGGATATATATAATACATGAAAGCACCAGGCATGGTGCCTGGCAAGTATTGGGTCTTTTGCAGTTATTGCTATTATTATTTTGATCCCAGATCCTATCAAAATCTGCTCTATGGTCTATTTAATCCAAGAAATGACCAATAATATGAAGCACCCTATGATAAGGCACAATAAATCAGCTAATATGATGCTTAACAAGTAAAACTTAATATATAGGTTGTTGAGGTTATTTATTGTGTATGTAAGGGAGTTTTCCAGGCTTCCCAGGCAGCGCAGTGGTAAAGAATCTGCCTGCCAGTGCAGGAGGCACAAGAGATGCGGGTTTGATCCCTGGGTGGGGAAGATGCCCTGAAATAGGAAATGGCAACCTGCTCTAGCATTCTTGCCTGGAGAATTCCATGGACAGAGGAGCCCAGTGGGCTACAGTTCATGGGGGTCTCAAAGAGTTGGACATGACTGAGCATGCACACTCGAGCCCACATGTACATGCACGTACACACACACACACACACACGGGAGTCTTCCCCAATCACATGGAACTTAAGGATTCCAGAATTTGTGTCAAGTACCAATTCCTTCCATCCCTTCCAACCCTCCTTCCATTCAAACGACATCCATTTTCATTTATTTCAATCCCATTAAAAATCTAGCCCTAACCTGGAGTTTGCCAAATTGCATACAAGACAACCTAATGAAATGAACTTCAAATGTAGTGGACTCTATCTCCCAGGCCAGAGCAAAGATGGCAAGCACAGTGGCTTCTGACCACACACGTCATATAGAGTATCACCCCTGTTTCTCAGAAATTCCCTGGGCATGATGGGCATAAAACACATAGTTCATGTGTTGTGCTCAACTGCTCTGACAAAAGGACACTGGAAAGGATGCAGGTCACCTTCCATTCTTATTCCAGGTGGAGAATTCTCTCCTGTTTACCCATGACTCAAATGTAACTGCAAGGAGTTCTCCATTTCAGGCTTTAGTCTCTCAACTCTGGACACACTTTCTGAAGGTCTGACCCTTTCCCACCACTCCCACACCCTCATTTGATCCACCTCCTAGCTTACCACAGCCTGACTCCCACTGAAGGATTTGCCATTTCTCAAACTCACTTGCCTCAGAGTGTTTACGCTTGACTGCTCACTTCTGGATCCTCCAATGTCCTCTCTTCCTTTTGACTTGTCCTTAGGTATCAGAATCTCTCACCATCTTTACTTTACAACTGTTGCTAGATTCAAAAATTCTATGGGCATGCTTGTTTTTTTTTTTTTATCTTGATGTTCTCAGTAGTAGCCTAGAGCCTGACAAAGAGCAAGCTCATGGAATGTTTGAGAAATAGATGAGACACTGTGAAAGAGATCTTATTTATTATGATGTAATTAAAGTAAACACATCCAAGATATATCTCTTAATTTTACAGAACAGACTAAATGTGATAAGGCATGTAAAACTTTATCACCTTTTACATTTTTTTCTATTTCTTGATCTGAGCCATTTTACTGCTGATTTCTTTTCACATTTCCTTGGAAATGCCTAATCCAATGACATGTTATCTTGTTCTGAATAAGTAAATAAGACAAAGTTTCCCAATTTGTTCTGTAAAATAGTAAAACTCTTAAACCCCATAAACATCAATACATGTTTAATTTATATTATTCATAAACTCAGATTCTGAAGCTAGTTAAATTTCTACTAAAAGGAGCAACATTTATGCAAATTTATCCACATAGAACAGGAACACAAACATGTTATATATACTCTGTTTTCTCCAGCCCTGCCCCAATCTTGCACTAGTGAGAACATCAGCGGTTCTCTTCAAATTTTCCTCATACTTCACTTGGTGCAGGAGAAGCTGCGGGCTGTGGCCGAGGAGTGGCCACTGGCCAAAGCAGCAGCGCGAGCCCTGGCTGAAGCTCTAGCTTGGGCTCTCTCTTCCTCATCTCTCAAAGCCTCCGCATACAAGGATGTGAAGGTAGTGGGGGGCCTACCATGGATCTTAGCTACAAACTCCAGCACTTTCATCTTGGTGGTTTCAGCGTAGGCTCTCGGGCCCCACAAAAACTCATAGTATGGAGGATCACTATTGGCCACCTGGCGGTACTCCAGATACTTTTCCTGCACTAAATCTTTGGTGATGAGCTGCTTCGGATCCCCATAGATGATGTCCTTCTCCCCCTCATATAACTCCATCATATTCAGCACTTTCCACACTTGCTCTTCAGTGGCGGAGTTGCCGTTCGTGAAGATCACACCCAGGACAATCATCAGCAGACCAGTCTTGGGAAAATCTTTGCCATTACCTGGCTTTTCACCAAAGCCCATTTCCAGTTTATTGACAAGGACATAAGTACCCCTGTTGGGATCTGTTTCCTTCATGTCGAGGCCAAACATCAGCTCCAGATGCTCAGAGCTTTTCCTGAGGATCTCACTGAATTGATTCTTGTACTTGTAGGTTACATGTTTCAGCATATCTGCCTTGGTCACAGGCTCTTTCGTTTGATACTTGTACAGAAGGTGATGCACCAACAAAGCAACCTTCTCGTCTACAGAACCTTTGGGCTGGCGCTGGATGGTATCTTGACTATGAGAGGCTTTTGGCCTTTCCTCTCCTTGATCGGTGGCACCTTCACTAAATTTTGCATCTGAAACAGAGGCAGCAACAGTGGTGGTGGAGCAGACTTTGCCAGGCAATTGAAGACTGCTGGATGTTCCAGTGGCAGCTGAGCTCTGGGGAACATCTTCAAAAGAAGGAGATGGGGAAGAAGGGGATTCTTCTTTCTCTGGTTCAGTGGGCTGAGCTTCCACCAGATCACTGGGCTCTTGTCGAGCCTGGCGGCGTTTTTCACGGGCGCGAAGCTTACTCTTCTGACCCCGAGGCATGATGACTGACAGTACGTGAGAAAGAAGGTAAATTTGACTCTATCACCTGGAAGAAAGAGAACGAAATGGTGTGACTCTTCAGTGGGGATGACAGCCCCCTCTGCAGGTTTCCTTGCAGGCACTGCTCTAGAAACCCATAAGGCTCCTCTTCCCTGATCAGCCTTTCCCCTGAAGACTCTGTGGAAGCAACTAGAGTTCACCTTTAGGCTGCAGCTCTCCTGTCCTACCTAGGTTCTACTGGAGCTGATATAGAGTCTGGCCAGTCCAGGCCCTCTGGAGCCTCCCCTGTTCTGGAGTAGCAGATGTTTCTGTCAGTTCACATTCAGGGCCATTACCTTGACTTCTGGCAGGACCCGAGGTCCTGTGCCTAACTGCTCTCATGGTGACTCGTCATTCCAAAGCCCTCCAAAGCCCTCACATCCCTGATATCGTGGAGGTGGAACTGAAAGGGGACATCACTCTGGGGTGGCAGCAGTGACAAAGCTCTCTGGGACCATCTCCACCCTAGGAGAATCAGGATTCTCACCCCTCACTCAGAGTCCTTACCTTGGTTTCTTGCAGGACCTAAGACTTCTCCCTTGGCTGACCTTAGACCTACTCCTTTGGAGCACAGCCTTCACATCTCTGAAAGTCCTAGGAAGAGTTTAGGGAGGTCTCACTTTAACATATCTTCACCAGGAACCCTTGCCAGGGATGACATCACATGTAGGGCTCTGTGAAACACCCTCTGTTCTGTGATGGGTTGTCCCCTCAACCCTGTGGTTCCTGATAGTAATTCCTCCCCTTGACTAACTGGTGTCTTCCCTTCTTCAGGTCTGAGGCCTATAATAATCAAACCAAGGCTCTCATCCCCCTGATATCTTGGAATATGCAGTGGAGGGGGGGTGGGCGTGGCAGACTCAGTATGACAGATCTCTGAAGGGCTTCCCAGGGCTGGTCACAGAGGAAGGGCCTGACTCGGTGTACCGCCCTTCAGTCCTCTCTATGACTTCTAGAAGGGCCTGGCTGGATCAATTATTTGTAATAGGACCCTCTTCTCTCTGTGACCACTGAGAATAAAGTGAGAGACGTCTTAGCTTGACAGCCCTGCTTAGCCTGACACCAGGGCTTATAACAAGGTGGCACTCTGTGGGGCCCCTCTTTGTCTTAAGGGAGAACTTCCTACAGTCCTTGCTCAAGGTTCTGAACTTAAAACCACCCCTAGGACTCCTCCCTCTGCTAACCTGAATTGTCTAGCATTAGACCAAGGTTCTTATACACCTCCCTTCCTCCTCTCTCTGCTCCCCACCTCTTCACTCCCGCCCCTCCCCCAACACCTCCTTTACCCAAACCCCTTGTCCCCACCCCCAACACCCCCCTTCACCCAACCCCCCCTTATCCCCACCCCCAACGCCCCCCTTCACCCAACCCCCCTTGTCCCCACCCCCAACACTCCCCTTCACCCAACCCCCCTTGTCCCCTCCCCCAACACCCCCTTCACCCAACACCCCTTGTCCCCACCCCAACCCCCCCTTCACCCAACCCTCCTTCTCCCCACCCCCAACATCCCCCTTCACCCAGCCCCGCCTTGTCCCCACCCCCAACGCCCCCCTTCACCAAACCCCCCTTGTCCCCACCCCCAACGCCCCCCTTCACCCAACCCTCCTTCTCCCCACCCCCAACATCCCCCTTCACCCAACCCCCCCTTGTCCCCACCCCCAACACTCCCCTTCACCCAACCCCCCTTGTCCCCACCCCCAACGCCCCTTCACCCAACCTTCCTTGTCCCCACCCCCAACATCCCTTCACCCAACCCCCCTTGTCCCCACCCCCAACACTCCCCTTCACCCAACCCCCCTTGTCCCCTCCCCCAACACCCCCTTCACCCAACCCCCCTTGTCCCCACCCCCAACACTCCCCTTCACCCAACCCCCCTTGTCCCCTCCCCCAACACCACCCTTCACCCAATGCCCCTTGTCCCCACCCCAACACCCCCTTCACCCAACGCCCCCTTGTCCCCACCCCAACACCCCCTTCACCCAACGCCCCCTTGTCCCCTCCCCCAACACCCCCTTCACCCAACCCCCCTTGTTCCCTCCAACACCTCCCTTCACCCAATCCCCCTTGTCCCCTCCCCCAACACCCCCTTCACCCAACCCCCCTTGTCCCCTCCCCCAACACTCCCCTTCACCCAATCCCCCTTGTCCCCTCCCCCAACACCCCCCTTCACCCAACCCCCCTTGTCCCCTCCCCCAACACTCCCATCCCTACCCCTGCACTCCCCTCCGGGACATTAGGTGTGCCTAGTCCAGTAAGCCATACATGGGGTCTGTCGGGACCAACTGCCGTGAAAGGGAACCCAGGGGAAAGGGGACGTTCCGCCGAACTCACAAAGGGTTCTTCGTTGATCCTGAGAGGCCCTGCATTCCTCTGCTGGCTTGACGCCAACACCCTGGTGCAGTGTTACTATTTTCCTAAATTCCTAGAATATGTTGGCAATATGTCGGACGATCCCCGATCAGAATCTTCTAGAACTGAAGACGGGGCAGAACTATAGTGCCTATGGGGCCTTCTGTCTTTTGAGTTAGAGGGTCCCTCAAACCTTACCTTACCCCTGGTAGAACTCGGATGCTTCTCTCTGCCGACCGGACGCCACGCACTTCTTTCACCACACAGTCTCACCGCCTAACCTCTGGAGACGGAAGTCAGTGTGCCGCACATCCGGGCACCTCTACCCACGCACCCCACGCTCTCCACGCCCACTGCCCTTCCTCCCAGGCTAGATTGCAGAGGCGGGCCTTGAGTCTGCGGTGCCTGCTCTCTTCCGTTATGGGTGATACCCAAAGCCCTCTCTGCAGAGTTAGGGCCTCATTTTGGCTCCTGGTGGATTGATTAAAGGCTCCTTGAGAAATGCCACCTCTGTGTAAGTTCCGCACTCCTTGTCCCCACCCCAACGCCCCCCTTCACCCAACCCCCCCTTGTCCCCACCCCCAACGCCCCCCTTCACCCAACACCCCTTGTCCCCACCCCCAACACTCCCCTTCACCCAAACCCCCTTGTCCCCTCCCCCAACACCCCCCTTCACCCAACCCCCCTTGTCCCCACCCCAACCCCCCCTTCACCCAACCCCCCTTGTCCCCACCCCCAACGACCCCCTTCACTCAACCCTCCTTGTCCCCACCCCCAACATCCCCCTTCACCCAACCCCCCTTGTCCCCACCCCAACGACCCCCTTCACCCAACCCTCCTTGTCCCCACCCCCAACACTCCCCTTCACCCAACCCCCCTTGTCCCCTCCCCCAACACCCCCTTCACCCAACCCCCCCTTGTCCCCACCCCCAACGCCCCCCTTCACCCAACCCCCCCTTGTCCCCTCCCCCAACACCCCCCTTCACCCAACCCCCCTTGTCCCCACCCCAACCCCCCCTTCACCCAACCCCCCTTGTCCCCACCCCCAACGACCCCCTTCACCCAACCCTCCTTGTCCCCACCCCCAACATCCCCCTTCACCCAACCCCCCTTGTCCCCTCCCCCAACACTCCCATCCCTACCCCTGCACTCCCCTCCGGGACATTAGGTGTGCCTAGTCCAGTAAGCCATACATGGGGTCTGTCGGGACCAACTGCCGTGAAAGGGAACCCAGGGGAAAGGGGACGTTCCGCCGAACTCACAAAGGGTTCTTCGTTGATCCTGAGAGGCCCTGCATTCCTCTGCTGGCTTGACGCCAACACCCTGGTGCAGTGTTACTATTTTCCTAAATTCCTAGAATATGTTGGCAATATGTCGGACGATCCCCGATCAGAATCTTCTAGAACTGAAGACGGGGCAGAACTATAGTGCCTATGGGGCCTTCTGTCTTTTGAGTTAGAGGGTCCCTCAAACCTTACCTTACCCCTGGTAGAACTCGGATGCTTCTCTCTGCCGACCGGACGCCACGCACTTCTTGCACCACACAGTCTCACCGCCTAACCTCTGGAGACGGAAGTCAGTGTGCCGCACATCCGGGCACCTCTACCCACGCACCCCACGCTCTCCACGCCCACTGCCCTTCCTCCCAGGCTAGATTGCAGAGGCGGGGCTTGAGTCTGCGGTGCCTGCTCTCTTCCGTTATGGGTGATACCCAAAGCCCTCTCTGCAGAGTTAGGGCCTCATTTTGGCTCCTGATGGATTGATTAAAGGCTCCTTGAGAAATGCCACCTCTGTGTAAGTTCCGCACTCCTTGTCCCCACCCCAACGCCCCCCTTCACCCAACCCCCCCTTGTCCCCACCCCCAACGCCCCCCTTCACCCAACCCCCCTTGTCCCCACCCCCAACACTCCCCTTCACCCAAACCCCCTTGTTCCCTCCCCCAACACCCCCCTTCACCCAACCCCCCTTGTCCCCACCCCAACCCCCCCTTCACCCAACCCCCCTTGTCCCCACCCCCAACGACCCCCTTCACCCAACCCTCCTTGTCCCCACCCCCAACATCCCCCTTCACCCAACCCCCCTTGTCCCCACCCCCAACGACCCCCTTCACCCAACCCTCCTTGTCCCCACCCCCAACACTCCCCTTCACCCAACCCCCCTTGTCCCCTCCCCCAACACCCCCTTCACCCAACCCCCCCTTGTCCCCACCCCCAACGCCCCCCTTCACCAAACCCCCCTTGTCCCCACCCCCAACGCCCCCCTTCACCCAACCCTCCTTCTCCCCACCCCCAACATCCCCCTTCACCCAACCCCCCCTTGTCCCCACCCCCAACACTCCCCTTCACCCAACCCCCCTTGTCCCCACCCCCAACGCCCCTTCACCCAACCTTCCTTGTCCCCACCCCCAACATCCCTTCACCCAACCCCCCTTGTCCCCACCCCCAACACTCCCCTTCACCCAACCCCCCTTGTCCCCTCCCCCAACACCCCCTTCACCCAACCCCCCTTGTCCCCACCCCCAACACTCCCCTTCACCCAACCCCCCTTGTCCCCTCCCCCAACACCACCCTTCACCCAATGCCCCTTGTCCCCACCCCAACACCCCCTTCACC